TGTTTTCTCGCAGCTACCAGAATCTATGGTCATCAGCAGCTATCCGACGGCGTGTTGTTTGTTAATTTCTGGATTTTCAATTACCTCCAAATCTAGTGCCTCTTGTGCTGAATGAAACCTGGAGAAAACTATGACACTTTACTTACACTTGACAGCTTCAACACAGAAAAAAGCATAGGCTTACCTGTTTCTTTTGGCCAATTCGATGTGCGCGACTCATTGCCTGCAGGTCATTCTGTGGATTCCAATCCGAATCAAATATAATCACCGTATCAGCTGTTGCTAGATTGATGCCTAGGCCACCGGCACGCGTTGATAAGAGGAAACAGAAATCCGATGAATTCGGTGCATTAAAATGGTCCAGTGCAGCTTTGCGAAGATCGGAACGCATTGATCCGTCTAACCTCTGAAAGTGAGCTGCATCAAAATTATCAAAACAACTTTATTCTTGGAGTCTTGGCATCAAAAAAAGCAACTTCCGCGTTTCTATTCATGGGAACATGAAGTTGAAAATGAAGTTTGTCTAAATTCCAAATTTTTTTCGAAAAATACTAGGCAACAAAAACTTTTTTAAGACAGATGATTTGCAGATGAGTATTGGTATTCTAGGGAGATGTAAAAACTGAACTCATATGTTGTACCTGGCAGGCAAAACGTCGGAGCTGAAGATATTCCTGGATAATATCGAGCATCATCACCATCTGTGAAAAGATCAGCACACGATGCCCTGTTTCTTGTAGCCGACAGAGTAATTTATCCAGTAGGATCAACTTTCCGGATGATTTCAGCAATTGCTGAAATAGGAAGCACTTGTGGGAGGTAAAAACTTTCAAGAAAAATAAGTTATCATCGCAGACCGGCGGAAGTATTAAGTGCTATCTCCGAATCAGTTATGACAACAGTTACTGTAAAACGAAGGGTATCTAGCAACATAGGCTGATCCAAGGGGAGGAAGGAGAAAGGGGGTCTGGCGGTGGATCTGGGACCAGTGCTACGAATATCCGGGTTTACTGAAAGAAAGCTTTTTCCCGCAACCCCCCATAGCACTCTCATCTCTCCAGTAACCCCATTCCCTTCCCTC